CTGATTTAAATAATCACACAACATTGCCACCATCTAGGTCATTTCCTGTGTATGTCACAAATCCAGGGGAGAGTAGATTAATCAACTATCTGAATGTTTTTTGAGTGGTTGCAATTCTGTTGGACACTCATGATTCCCCGTTTATGACATTTCTGTGAAGTGATCTTTTCAGTTATTTAAACTCATTAAAGTACAGAGGAAAGTAGCCCTTTGCCTCTGGAAAGGGAAAAAGGGGAAATATTGGATTTCTCTGAATATACTTGATTCCATCCCAAAAGAGTCATTAAATAGCAAATATTGTGCATAATAGCTGCTTCAGAGAGGCATAGTTTTAAAATATGTTGGTTTTAAACTCCTCTCTTATCTAGGAATGATGTGGTCAGTGGTATTTTCTCTTGAGAAAGGTCTTACAGTTACTATCATCCATTGCCTGACTGTAGCAGACTATCAAGTCTTTCAAGACCAGGAGCCTGCATGAGGCTGAGAGCTACTGAAATAATCAGGAGGAGCCTGAGGGCTCCTTTCACTAATAAGGATGTTTATAGCCAAGGTTTTGTACGGGTACAGACACAATTTTAAAATACCCTAGCATGGTCTCTCCTAGCTTAAGACCCCCAAGCAAAAATTGAATGAGAATCTTCAAACTTTTCTTTTTTGTAGTTCTGGGAATTGAACCCAGGGTCTTGCATGCACTAGGCAAGCACTCATTACTGAGCTACAACCTGAGCCCCCAGATCCTCAAATTTTAATATAGAAACCATATAAGTGAGCCAGGTTTGGTGGCATAGACCTATAATCCCAGTGATTTCAGAGGCTGAGGCAGGAGGATGTATGTTAGAGGCCAGTCTCTGCAAAGGAAAAAAAAAAAAAAATTGAATCAGGTTCTCAGAAGCCTGGTGAGACCCTATCTCAAAATAAAAAATAAAAAGGACTGGAGAGGTAGTTCTGTGGTAACACACCCCTAGGTTCAAACCCTAGTTAAAAAAAAAAAAAAAAAAAAAAAATATATATATATATATATATATATATATACACACACACACACACACACACATATATATATATATTCCATACCTAACAGATATAATGAAATCTGCCCTTAATCTACCTTATATAAATATTAGGAAATAGTATATTAGTAGTCCCTGAAGATTCAGACATTACAAGAAATGTTTATTTCATTAAACTATCAATTGGTCACCTTTACATTGGTATCATTTCTGTTCTGATTTGATTATCCTAGCTGGGTGTGCAAAACTGTCTATTCATATTAAGTAAATTTTGGGGGGAATATAAGGAGTGACATGTTGCATTTACTGACTGTAAAGTCATGTAAATTGTAATAATTTACAAATGTAAATTATTCTCAAACAACACTGCTATAATTAAAAGCATATTTCTAGCATATACTTAACTATTTGTAAGGAATAATACTAATTTTACATTGAACATCTAGGGAAGAATTTGATTTTGATTAGTTTGTACTTTCAGTGTAAGCTGATGAACATTTAGTAAAATGGGCAAACAACCTCATCCATCAGAGGGTATTAAGGCAAGTGACAAAGTAGAGAAATCTAATCTATACCTGAGAAGTCAGACAGGAGCAGTGCTAGGAGTTGCCACATTCTAGCCTGTGACCTGGATTCCTGAGGTTAACCGGCAGTTGGTAGCAGTTAAAGCTGAGGTTTGTTGAAAGAACAAGCAGAAGGGGAAAGGTAAAGATAAGGAAGATGAAGAAAGACAGTTGAACATTTTTTTTGGTATTATTTGCTTTTCAAGTGAAAATGTGAGATTTTGACCAATGTGGCTTTTTAATTATATCAAGTAGGCTCTTTTGAGATGAACTGATTATTTCTCTAGAATCAAAAGTGTAAACTAGAAAAGACTCAGCTTTGGGTAAAGCCCCCATTAATTTTATGAAACATTCCTAGAGACTCTACATCACTAAAAAAAAAAAAATTAGTTCTTAGTTCTGAAGGATTTCATTTAAAGAACAAAGCTTATATTAGTAAGCAAACATATTCATGTGCTATATATATTTAAAGTGCTTAGGATGATTTAGAAATCTCAATTACAAATCTTCAGGGCAAGAATTTTGCTTTATTTTTCTGCCAAGGAAAGTCAGTGGGCTAACAATAGTGGCATTAAAGCCTTTTACTTGCTAAGTCATGGATCTAATCAGGATAAACAGGTTAAGTTTGTTCTCTCCAAAGCTAGAGGCAAAATTGTGACTCAGTTATTACAACACTACCACAAGCATGTGGATTTTGCAAAAATTGCCTAGCAACATTACAGCTGGAAACAACACTGGGTAGGGAAGGAAACTAGAAATTTGACTTAGATATGCCCTGGTGCAAATGGGTGTAACTCCTCTGTTGGGTACAGTGTGTGCTGTACTCAATGAGCATGAAATTTTAAAAATCAGAATAGTCATTTAAAATTTCAGTTAGGACGTTGCTATAATTAAACCATAACACTGTGCCATGTGCTTAGCTGAGGAGGCAGGGCCTGATTTCTCATTCATTATGACACTGTTTTTTTTTTAAGAATTACTAGATCTTCTTTCAGTTATTCCAGAAACATTTATGAAGCACTGTCCTGGGGTCCAAAGCACAATCCTGGTTGGTGGATGGAGTTCAAAAGACAAATAAAACTTGATTCCAGCTCTGGGTGTGAGGAAAGACAGATAAGTTAAGAGAGTTCTACAGTCCATGCAGGTGTGGGCAAGAGTAAATCATGCAGGAAGGCCCTAGGAAGTGGCTCTATCACTGAGTACTGGAGTGTGCCACCTTTGGTTCCATCCCCACCCAAGAGTAGGGATCAACACAGTGCCTCCAGAATGCTGGGCAAGCACTCACCATGGAGTTACACCTTAGCCTCTAGCACTGAGTCTTGTTTTCAATTTTTAAAAAATACTGGCTTTTAAAACCCAAAGGCTGAATGTTATCTCTGATATACCAATTTTAACACATGTTAAGTGCAGTAGGAAAGAACAGAAGTTCATTGGATTGGACAAAAGGGAATAAAGGGGACTGGGGTTGTGGCTCAGTGGTAGAGCACTTGCCTTGCATGTGGGAGGCCCTGGGTTTGATCCTCAGCACCACATAAAAATAAAGACACTGTGTCCATCTACAACTAAAATATAAACATACACACACACACACACACACACATATGGGGATGAAGGGAGAGAGGATGGGAATAGGAAAGACAGTAGAATGAATCAGACATAACTTTTCTATGTTCATTCTTGAATTCACAACCAGTGTAACTTCACATTATGTACAACCACAAGAATGGGAAGTTATACTCCATGTATGTATAATATGTCAAAATGCATTCTATTGTCATGTATAACTAAAAAGAATGAATAAAAAATAATACCAGCTTTTCCCCCGTCATTCTACATATTTGCTGGGAACTTACCTCATCCACTGTGAGTGAGGATGCCAAGCCTTCAATGTTCTGGGACTATGCACTGAGAATTTCCCTTCCCGTGTTGCCCCAGTTTGAGAACTTCCAGTTTAGGGAAGCAGACAGATGGCAATGTAGGAGTTGACAAAAACAAAGCAAACACTGTTCAGAATGTTTACCTCCAAGAAGGGGAACTGGGCTGGAAATTGAAGGGATAGATGGGAAAGTTTTGTATCATTTAAATCTTTATTATTTGGGGGTGGGAAGGCCATAGAAAAAAATGATATAGTGTGATGTCTGCTAACCTTTACACACTTTCATTGAATGAAGTAGTAATCCTCTATTCAATCTTAAAATAGGAACTGGGATTGTGACCCACTGGTTGAGCTCTTGCCTAGCATGTGTAAGGAAAGGCACTGGGTTGGATTCTGGCACCACATATAAATAAATAAAGGTCCAAAAACAACTAAAAAAATTTTTTTAGAAAACTCTTAGAATAGGCAAATTTAAATGCAAACTTGCCAATTTAGGAAGCAAACCAATTAACATTTTAACTAAGGGCTCTTTTATCAGTGATAAAATAGCACCTAACCCATATCAGAACACTACAATAAACAAGTTAGGGAAGGTCCTTGCCCTCAGGGACCTTATTTTTCCAGCATAGTGACAAACAACCTACTTGGAGGTAGACATAAACCTGTTAAGGAAATAAAACAGGGAATTGTGAAAGACAAAGTGAGGCAAAGAAGGGGATATGAGAAGTTAGTAACAAGGGATATAGAATTCTTATAGAGGAGGGGTTCAGGAGTAACAGTCTAATGAGAAGAGGCCTAAGGGGCTTTAAAGTTCCCATTTACCTACAAAGCACATTTTTATACAAATTCATGCTTTAGATCCATAAAAGAAGCAGTTTTCTAAGGTTATTTTTATTTACATTTCATAGAAAATGTCACTATCTACACCAAATAATTCTGTTATCAGAAGGGACAGAGGGGGAGGTATTAGAGGGTGCTAGAAAACAATCCTTGGCTTTGACCACTCTGGATCAGAGAATGCCTCTCCTTGAAGTGTACAGAGTTCTGATCGTCTATAAGTTTAAAATTAAGTTTGGGTTACCATACAAAAAGTCATACTTACATTAGCTAGCAAATGTTTGTGGAAACAGCTGTAGACCCTTTATTGTCATCAGTTGTGATCTCAAGACAATTCAAAAAGCGATGTGCTAAGTACTAAGACCAGTTTTAAAAATCCAGCTTGATGTTAGCTTTTGAAGTGTTAGAACAATTTTAATCACAAAGTATTAACTCCCATAAAATGCTATGATAAAATAAATAAATAAATATAAGTGGCCATTAACCCAAGATTACTGTCCAATATTGTGAATCAAAAACAAATTCATCACTGGTAGTGGTGCACGCCCATAATCTCAGCGACTAGGGAGGCTGAGGAAGGAGGATCACCGAGTTCCAAAGCAGTCTCAGCAATTTAATTGTAGCTCAATGGTAAAGTGCTTCCAGGTTCAATTCCCAGTACTAAACCAAAACTAAAACAAAGAGAAAAACCCACACAACCGAAACCAAACCCACCTGAACAAACATTAAATATCCGCTGACATCCAAAATTCACAAAAAGCGTGCTGTAATCTACTGGTAGTGAGAATACAAATTGTTTTCCTGGAGGGCAAATTTGGCAGCTTAAATCCTTTGACCCAGTAATTCCCACTCCAGCAATGTATCCTAAATAATAATAATACCACGGAGAAAGATGGATATTAGTCGCGGGGTTATTTACAACAGAAAAACTGGGAAAGAAATCTTGTGTGTGCAATAAGGGACGGTTCGACATGGTAGGAGGGGAATTGTTTTCTCTAGTTAGACCTTAGCTGCCTGGCCAACCCGTTTTGCCAACACAGGCCCACGTGCAGGCTGACAAACACCGTGGTCGCTTGGTGGGCACCAGTTTGGGGTAGCGCCGCGGGGGTGCTGCTTCTGTTTACCGGGACAAGCCTTGGCTCGGCTGCATAGGGGACCACAGGCCTGGAGAGCTCACCTCAGGAGGTCGCACCCGCCCCCAATAGCCACCACCTGAGCAAACTGAGGCTCAGAGGACGCGCCCCCCAGCCAGTGTCTTCGCGTCGAGAACTCGCGTGTGGGTCCTCTGGTTGACCTCGGTGTCCCTCCTAGGCACACCAGGTTCACAGAATTCAGGAAGGTCCGGAGGCCCGACCTCGAGTCCGAAACGTGACTGCACACCGCCACGCCCACAGCGCCCCAGTGGCTAGCGCCAAAGGGACGCCTGGCTGCAGGCGGCTCCGGCTGCTGCCGGCCCGCAGGGAACCAGGAGGCCCCCACGCCGCCCACAGAGATTCAGACCCCGGGGCGGCCCTCGGGGCGGCCCTCGGGGCCGCCCCGCAGGGCGTACCTCGCTCCCTTCGCCCCTCCCTGAAGGCGGCCTCGGGCTCGCTCATAGGCCGGTGGCCTGGCAGCGCGCCGACAGGGAGGCGGAGCCAGCAGTTTCGCGCCAAAATCGCGTAGCTGGTTCCTCCCCCGCGGGCTACGTCGCGCCCTCCTTTTTTTTTCAAACCCAGAGCGGGGCGGGGATTGGTGGGCTGGGCTCTCACGTGGTTAACGGTCGCGGGAAGCCGCGGAGCCCGAACTTGTAGCTGGACCTGCGGAGATCCCAGTCTCGGTGCCCGGGCCGCCCAGCTTCCGCTGGACAGTCCGCGCCGCCACTGCAGCCGCCGCCCGCAGCCCAGAGCGCCTCGGAGTCGCCGTCGCCGCTGCGCAGGCTCGCCGCCGCCGCAGCTAGGCGCGCCCAGTCTCACGTGGCGGACCCGCCCCCTGGGCCGGCCGAGTCCTGGACTCCCCGGTCAGCGGCTCTCCAGTCCTCCGCCCCGGCCCCAGGCCCGCAATGAGCTTCCTTAGCCGGCAGCAGCCGCCGCCGCCCCGCCGTGCCGGGGCCGCCTGCACTTTGCGGCAGAAGCTGATCTTCTCGCCCTGCAGCGACTGTGAGGAGGAGGAGGAAGAGGAGGAGGAGGAGGGCAGCGGCCACAGCACTGGAGAGGACTCGGCCTTTCAGGAGCCCGACTCGCCGCTGCCGCCCGCGCGGAGCCCCACGGAGCCCGGGCCAGAGCGCCGCCGCTCGCCCGGCCCGGTCCCCGGCAGCCCCGGGGAACTGGAGGAGGACATGCTGCTGCAGGACGCCAGCCCGAGCGCGGACGCGGCGGGCGGCGGGGCGGAGGGCGACTCGTGGGAGGAGGAGGGCTTCGGCTCCTCGTCGCCGGTCAAGTCGCCAGCGGCCGCCTACTTCTTAGGCAGCTCTTTCTCGCCTGTGCGCTGCGGCGGCCCGGGGGATGCGTCTCCTCTGGATTGTGGGGCGCGCCAGTCCAGCGAGGGCCCCTGCTCGCCGCTGCCCGACCACCCGGGCACCCCGCCGCACAAGACCTTCCGCAAGCTGCGGCTCTTCGACACGCCGCACACGCCCAAGGTGAGCGGGCGGGCGGGACTGCCGGGCGCCGGGCGGCCGGGCCTTTAAACAGGCCGCGGCGCCCAGCCGAGCGCGCCGCTGTCGGGGTTCGGTTACATAACCGCCCGGCCGCGCCCCGCTCGCTGCCCGGCGCCGCCACCCAGAGTTGGCAGCCCCTCTCTTTGGCCCTGCCCAGGAGTTGTCCGTTAAGATTATGTAACTGAACAATGGGCCTCGTCTGCACTTCTTCATTTTACAAAGGGGCTGCTCGGCGCCGTGCAGGTGGCCCACGATTTGACGCCCCCGGAGTCGGGGCCGCCCCGAGCACCTCAGCCCCGAGTGTGGCACCGATATCGAGGGGTGCAGGACCGGCCCCCTGACACTCCCGAGCCATATGGTGCCTTTTAAACGCGGCGACGAGGCCTGTAATTTGGGCCCCTCGGGCAGAAGGTGTTTGGTTAAAAAAAAAAAAAACTCCCCGCTCTTATCCTTTTCGTGTGTAGTGGCGTTATGGGGAAAAAGTGAGGACTTCCACTGGCGAGTAAAGCCCGGCCTTCCCCGCATTTACAGTCCTAGACTCAGAATAATGCCTGGTAGCTTTTAAGCTTCGTTCAGGACGTAGTATCGGGTAAGCGTTTGTTTTTGTCCGTGGGATAGCGGTGCCGGAGTTTGGTTGCCTTTGGGTGATGATTAGGGACTCTGCTGTTGATATCTTAAGGAGGGTCTCTGCACCTGTTGGTGGAATGGTCATTCAGTATGCCGATTACCACTTCTTATACTCCAAAGTCACCCAGATTTAAGGACAGACACCGAAATTAAGACAAGCTGCACATTTGTGTGCGAAACGTTATTTCAAGTGAGTCCGGGTTCACTTCGTTGTCCGTTCATCATAAACACCAGAAATATATGTACTTTTGAGAATTAGTTTTATTAGCGGATTTGCCTACGGCAAGATCCTCCCGCAAGTGAGGGGAGGAGTCCCGCGGGAGTGTCTTTCAAAGCACTATTTAGATGGGGGAGGGGAGCTTTTATGAGACTGACTGCTTTCTATTTTCAGATGACTGGGGTTTGTTAACTTTTAAGACACTGAAATTAATTTAGTTTTAGTTAGCATAAATATTCCTTTTAGGATTTGAGACCGATTTTACTTTCCTCCCTTTTTCGGAAAGATAGATAATATCTAATCTCAGACTCTTAAATTAGCCACTGTTTTGTTGTTGTTGTTGTTCGTTTGTTTTGTTTTGTTTTTCACGAGTTACATCCCCAGCCCGTTTGAGACAGGTTCTCGCTAAATTGTTCAGGGCCTCGCTAAATTTCTGAGGTTGGCTTTGAACTTGGAATTTTCAAAGCCTCAGCCTGCCGAACCGCTGGTATTAAAAGCTTGTATGTTGCTTCATTTTTTTTCTCTGCGGTGCTAGGGATGAAACCAGGGCTTCCAGCATGTTACTCAAGCACTTAACTACTAAGATACATCCCCAGTTCTGGTGGGGTACTTTGATCTCTACCTTCAGCCACTTAAAAGGTCTGTTGAAGGTTAGATTGCGAAGGCTGTCTGGAGGGGTTGGGTCCTAAGAATTTTTATTTTTCCTTCTCTAGAGTTTGCTTTCCAAAGCTAGAGGAATTGATTCCAGCTCTGTGAAACTCCGCGGTGGTTCTCTATTCATGGACACACAAAAATCAGGAAAGAGAGAATTTGACACACGACAGACTCCTCAAGTGAATATTAATCCTTTTACTCCGGATTCAGTTTTGCTTCATTCCTCAGGACAGTGTCGTAGAAGAAAGAGAGCGTATTGGAATGAGTGAGTCATTTATCAATAGTTTGGCTTTCCCATATACCCAGAATTGGTTTGGTGTACTTAACAAAGTTCAGCTTCTACTGAATGGCATAGATGGTTAATTGTGCTCTGAAATGTTTTCTTATTAACACTTAGGAAAGGAGTGGTGTGAAAAAGGAAGGAATAAAAAAATATAAATTGTAGGAAAGCTGGTGTCAAATGAGGCAGGCAGTAAAGCCTTATTAAAAAGGCTTTATTTTCTTTTTTTTTCTTGGTATCAGGGATTAAACACTTAACCACTGGGCTACATCCCCAGTCCTTTTTTATTTTGAAACAAGGTCTCACTAAGTTTCCCAGGCTGGCCTCAAATTGCTATCCTTCCGTCTTAGTCTCCATAGTTGCTAGAAATACTGGTGTGAACCAACATTCCCAGCTTTAAAAAGACTTTAATTTTGATATGTGTGGTAATGTTGACATCTAGTTAGTGAGTGTATCTCAGCGGGGACTTTTTCATTATCTGAACTGAATCTTGTGATTACAAAATTAGAGGAATTGATTCCAGCTCTGTGAAATTCCGTGGTGGTTCTCTATTCCTGTATGTGTACCATAGTCAATTTTAGATCTCAAGTTGATGTATCTATTAGATGTGTTGATGAAAAAATATATGCTATTTTTTCAGTTCCTGTGAAGATATAGAAGGCAGTGATTATGAGCTTGAAGATGAAACAAGACCCGCTAAAGTAAATATTTATTTCTGAAATTTTGTTTAAGATATATACATGTTAAGTAAGCATGAAAACATAACCTAGAATAATTTTTTAAAAGTTCACACATAGTCCTGTCATCACAGCAAAAACTCATTTTCATTTCTTTGTATTATGTACATGGATAACCTTTTTATTCCAGAGAATTACCATTACTGAAAGCAATATGAAGTCACGGTATACGACAGAGTTTCATGAGCTGGAAAAAATTGGCTCTGGAGAGTTTGGTTCTGTGTTTAAGTGTGTGAAGAGGCTAGATGGATGCGTTTATGCCATTAAGCGATCAAAAAAACCATTGGCCGGCTCTGTTGATGAGTATGTATTACACATTCCTATCTTTTTTTTTTTTTTTTTTTCATTTTCTATGGCATTACAAACATTAAGGTTTTAGATGATCAAACGTTGAATTTAACTTGTTTAATTTTTGAGAAATCATAATGATTAATCAGGCCCTTTTAATTTTGTGCCATTGTTTTTTATTTTAGAGTCTAACTTAAATTTATTATTTCTAGTCAACATCCATGAATTTACAGTAGAATAGCATGTAATCTTTCCTGAGTCCTAAGGCCAGCAAACTTTCATCTTTCTGAAAGTCTTTAATGGAAGGAAGCCTTTGGGAAATCTCATGAGTCTTAACCCTGCCCCCACCCCCAGCATATTTCATTTCAGCATAAAGTTTGAAAAGTAAAGTTTCAGAGAAATTAACTCAGGTTAATCTTGAGTAAAAAATCATTTACCATTCTATTGATCTCAAATTTCTCCTAGGCAGAATGCTTTGAGAGAGGTGTATGCTCATGCAGTGCTTGGACAGCATCCTCATGTGGTTCGATATTTCTCTGCCTGGGCAGAAGATGATCATATGCTTATTCAAAATGAATATTGTAATGGTGAGTAATGTAATGGTTTTCTCATACACTTATATACTTGAGAAAATGAGCACCAAGGAGGGAATATTATTATCTCAAGTTTTTCTCCTTCTTTCTCTCTGACTCTTGTCTCTGTTTCTTTTTGGTGTAGTGAGTATTAAACCAAGGCCTCACATGTACAAGGCAAGCACTCCCCAGCCTGTCTTATAAACTGAAAAGATTAGAGGCCTTCTGTGTATTTTAAGTGCAAGTAGATTGAAAACCTCCCTTCTAAAGCACCTTGTAGAGACCTCAGTAGAACTTTGTATACTATGCATATCCTTGTTATTAAAATTACACCAATCCATTTGAGAAAATAGCGATCTTCCCATGTATATTCTGGTATCCTAGAACCTAGCATAGTGCATAGGGCACATAGTTGTTAAGACTGTCTTATTCGGGGCTGGGGCTGGGACTTAGTGGTAGAGTGCTCACTTTACACACATGAGGCACTGGGTTCCATCCTCAGAACCACATAAAAATAAAAGGTGTTTGTGTCCACCTACAACTAAAAAAATACATATATATATATATATAAAGATTGTCTTAAGTCTATTTTTTGCTGCTACAAAAGAATATTTGTGTTGGGTTATTTATTATTTATGTATTTTGCAGTACTGGACATTGAACCTAGGGCCTAACATATGCTAAGCACTACTGCTGAGCTAATCCCCAGCCCTTTTATTTTATTTGGAAACAGGCTGGCCTTAAACTTGTGATCCTTCTGCTTTATATTTTTGTGGTGCTGAGGATTGAACCTAGGGCCTTATACATTGTGAGGCAAGCACTCTACCAACTGGGCTATGT